TATTTCAAAAAAGATTTTTGTAATATGCTTTCCATATCCTTTTAAATTCTGTAAAATCTGTGGTAATGTTTCCCAGATCTTGATATTGTAATTTTAAAAATGTATAATTGATATTGTGTAATAGGAAGAAAAGTTCTAAAGTAATAGGGGAAGTGGGAGGGGTAGGGGAAAGGGAAGAAGGGAAAAGAAAAAATATGAGAGAAGGAAAAAATGGAAACAAAGTCTTTGCAAATACGGAAGGGTGGAGGGGTTGAAGGGAGGACCGGGTAAGGGGGAAAAAATAAGAACCAAGAGACTCATGCAAAGGTCCAAGATCACAATGATGAATGCAACTGTATTTTATACCTAAAATGTACCTATAAACTTAATGAGAAAAAAAAAGAGCTATGAAGGTTGATTATCCTAAGTACAGAATAGCAATGACTTTTCCTTATTACCAATCACCTTGTCTCAGCCTTAGACGACCAGGTTTCTTTATCCCATTCATAACCCTAAACTCTTGGCTGAAGATGCAGATTTGAGGCAAGCTCTCCTATTTCCACACAAATGAACACTTCACAAATAAACTCTGTCACTTTCACAAAATTTCTTGCTACAGCGGTTGACATACTATGGGGTGGGCAAAACAAGCCTGGTTTGGTAACAGGAATATTTTACAATCACATGTGTACATGATAGTATTTTTTGAATGTGCATAATTAATTGAAAATTGTTTCAAGTACTGCAGACCTGAATCTCCAATAACAGAGCTTTTCAACCACACTCTAAGGACTCTGTAAGACATGAACAAGATCCACTAATTTAGCTGTAGATTTATATTTCAGTAATGCTTTGACTTACAAAGCACTTATTTCTATACTAATAGCATCTTATTTTCTATATAGTTGCTGCAAAAGAGTTCATTAGTGTTTTCATTATGAAAATTTTCTTCCCTTAATTCTCCAATTATATTAGATACTGTTCGATACTAAGTTAAAGTTAGACTATCTATTATTCTGAGTTGACAGGGAGAGATATGAATGTGAAACTTCTGATTTAATGTGAGTAAATATCTAGAAAATGTTTTTAATATCTGAATGATTTATTTTATAAAGTCCCTGGTAGAATGTAATTGTATAAACCAAAGAGCAACAAAGAAAGAAATGGAACAAAAACCATATGATCATCTCAATAGATGCAGAAAAAGCATTCAACAAAATCCAACTTGCATTTATGATAAAAACCCTACAAAAAATTGGAATAGATGGTCTCTACCTAAATCTGATAAAAGCCATCTATGAAAGACCAACAGCCAATATTGTACTAAATGGTCAAAAACTGAAATCCTTCACACTAAAATCAAGA